CATAAAAATGACTTTCGTTGCATTTGACAATGATAAACTTACCGAAAAGCCGTGTTTTTCTCGGTCGGTATAATCCGCCATTTTATTTGAGTGTGTTTGCCATCAGACTCTGCCCGGTGACGCCATCATGTGCGCTATAGAAGGAGGTCTGTGATTCGTTGACTAAAATCGTCGATAGTGGGTCTCGTTGAAATCTCGTTACATAGGCATCGGTTCAGATGTAGGTAGGGCGGAATTTAAAAAAATCACAAAATCAAAGTAAAATAATAAAATAAAAGGGCATTAATAACAAAAGTAATAAAAAATAAAATTAAAATAAGTTTATAGCCAAAATAATTAAAGCCCGTACACTACATCAGATTTTAATCAGATTGGGCTCAGACATTATTTACCTAAATCAACTCTTATTTTATTGTACAACTCTTTAATTCTTCCACACCTTTCATATTGTATTGACATTTTGGGGAAACACTTATACTACCTTCCTGCAGCCATTACATTTGCTTCAAAAGAAAATTGCCCGTCTTATAACTTTTTCAAACTACCGCGCCCATACTGCCCCTTTATTTAAACGACTTGGTATTCTTGACATTCACAAACTCTCTAAATTCAATACTTGCCTGTTCACCTTTGACCTTTTTAAAAATCGCTTTGCACATGATGTGAATCACTAGTTAGATCCCCTTCCACACAACTACCCAACCCGTCTCGCCCTTGAAAACAATTTTTACATTCCACAAGTGCATTTAACTCAAAGTAAACATAATATGAAATACGCAGTTACAAAGCACTGGAATGCACTTCCCAATCACATTAAAATTATTACACATAGACACATGTTTAAAAGTAACATTAAAATCCCTCCTACTAAATGAGTAACATTCATTCACTCATTCATTCATTCATCAACTTAGTTATTTATCTATTTATTTGTTCAGTTATCCAGTTATTTATCTATTCATTCAGTTATTTACTAATTGATCAAATGATTGATAAAATATTTCATCAACAGTTGGTTATTTTACTTTACATTATTTCACTTATTTAATTATATTTCATTATATTTCTTAGTCATGCAGACACTTTCTGTGTATAACGCTCGGCGGGGACATGGATTAGACTAGTTCAATACAGAACTATTTCCGTGTCCCTCACCAGTTGCATTCCTACAAAACAATATTTTATTTATCACACAAATATATGCATTTCTGTACATTAGTATTTATTTAATTTATTTAATAATGTTACTGGTGAAATAAACTTCAATTCAATTCAATTCAATTTATGTAGGTAATTAGTAAAAAGGTAATTAAGTGAACACAAAATTTACCCATAAATTATGAATGTATATAGCTTATCCCACAGCTCTTATGTACTAATTTTCATTGAAATCTAATGAGTAGATAATATAATGGTGGAAAAGCTAAACATTGGGTTATTAATATGTAAATAACGTAATTAATATGCACATATTGCAACTAGAAAATATTCCAGTGTGCGCGTTACCCCGGACCATATATGTATCAAGTTTCATTGATATAGTTTGGTAGTTCTTCAAATTGGGAAATTATTATGCAATTTAGGTCATTGATATGCACAGATTTCTACCAACAGGTCTGCGCATTATTCCAAAGCAAATATGTACCAAGTGCCATTGAAATCTGGTGGGTAGTTGAGATATTGGTAAAAAACTAAAGATTGGCTAATTAATATGCAAATTACTATACACAGATTCAACCAGAAACTAATCTCGTCTGTGCATTGTCCCACAGCATCTATGCACATAGTTTAATTGAAATATGATAATTGCTTCCTGACATGTCAGTGGAACAGACAAACACACACTATATAGGGTTGCGATTCAATTTTAATTGAAGTTTAATTACCTAAAAGTGTAACAAAGTAGAAATAACAACATACATCATGTGACGTAACAAAGTAATGTTTGCAAAGTTAAGAATTAGTCAGGGAGTAGGTATTGTATTAAATTTAATATAAACTGTACCATACAAAGTCACGTACAAGTAAAAGAAAAATAATTTCCGAAATGGACGTCTTCTTAGTAAACATACATTTGCAATTAAATACTGTGGATACGTGTACCTGATCCGTTCCTATCTGCAGTCCTGTAGCTCTAGATTTCGCTGTATTCCGTCTTTTTTAAAGTCGTTGTGGGTTCGTAAAACTACAGTAAAGAAGACCATAGGAATCGCTATAGCTGGGTGACCAGAAACAGTTTCGAAATTGTCGAGCATTTCACAAGTTACGTATTATCACTTCCAAGAGTTTCTACTAAAATTCGAAAATGTTTGAAGCATTGGTGAAGGAATCTCGGCCAGTGGAATTGGCCTTCCCTTCGACTCAATGACACACTCACACACCCTATTGATGTTCAGTCTAAAGTAAGATTTGACCGGTTGCCAACGTAGATTGCAGATTAATTGTTGAATCCATCTCTGTAGGCAGTTTTACAGATGTGGAAAGAAATGGTAATTTTTCATGCAAAACTGTTTCATGATCAGTTCTGTCCAGTATTGGCAGCTGGGTATTAGATTCGTACGTGCACGTAATATAGCTCCTTGGTTTCGCGATCACCTCACGACGAATAACATAACCCTGCCGGCAATTGATAAAAAACCAAGAGCTACAGAACTGTAGCTAAAAAAAAATGTCCTGTAACGATTGCGTAAATACACGTCATTTAACATCAATTTCCTACATAAATGCATTCCGATGACCCTACGCATTCGTGAGAAATGGCTACTTGACTATTCACATGAAGAATGTAGGGGTTATGAGATTAGAAATGACGCATCACAATATCCAGTTACATACATAAATTATTTCAAAAAGAAAACACAAGCTTACACTTAGCCTAGCTAGATCACCATCAAATAGTATTCACGATTGATAAATACTGGATAAAAACATATATTTCTACCTGTGATTGTCATTGTGGTCATGTCTATTCAGAGGCAAACAACAAATACAATTTCTTT